GCGAGGTGGCAACTCAGGCGGTTGTAGATAAGGCGTTCTAGTAGTTTAGAGGTGAATGGGAGTAAGGAGATTGGTCTGAGATTATTGAGGTCGGTAGGGTCTATTGATGTTTTTTGGGGTATTGGGGTGACTAGTCCATGTTTCAGAGGGGTAGGAAAGATTCCAGTAGAGAGTGGAAGATTGGAAATGTGAGTAAGAGAGTGTAGGATAGAGCAAGAGGGTGACCGGAGTAGTTTTGAGGGAACTGGGTCCAGGGGGCAAGTGGTGAGGTGGGTGTCAGAGCGAAGCTTAGTAACCTCCTCTGTGGTGACAGGGACAAAAGAGGAGAGTAACAAGTGTTTTTGAAATGAGTGGCGATGTCCTGGGCAGTGAGTGAGTTAGTGGGTGGGTGGTGGCGGTGGGGGACATAGTAGAGACTTATCAGGGCAGCTTTGTACAGGTAAGTTTCGCCACATGGTCTCAACGAGGAATTGGAAATCGGCATCATAATATGAGAACTCCATTTACATTGTTTGCCATTATGACAATCCTCTTACTCCTCTGGGACTCCAACCTAGGAGAGCATCGCATATGCTATGCATCTGCAACACCAACCCCCCCCCCATCCCTCACACGTTACCATGTTTTCCACTTTTACTTCTCAAAATACACTGAGTGGCCAGATTAATATGACCACCCCATCAGTACTTCGTTGGGCCACGAGATGACTCCACGAGATGATGAAAGGTGATGCGAGGAATCTGACACGGCACTGGTCCCCTTCTGTTGTCTTGTACCAGTCTTGCCCCTCCCCCGTTCTGCCCTAACATTGACTAGCCGCTGACGGCCACAATTCGCACGTTCAGACCCAGATTTTCGGCTGACAGTCCGGTCTTTAAACACTTTAACAATGAGCTGCTCTTGAACATTTAACGAATTCTGCTGTTTTGCTGATACTCGCTCCATGGCTCCGAGCGCCAACAATCATCCCGCGTTCACAGGCTGTTAAATCGCGTTGTTTCCCCGTATCTTCAGAAACAAATCACTTCTACTGTCGTGGTAACCAACCCGCTTCCCTATTTATAATGGTCTGGCCCTCTAGCAACTTCAGCGCCAAATTATAGCTAATTTGCCTACAAACGTCAGGTGGTCATAATAATCTGGCCACTCAGTGTACATACATACAAAAAACTGTTCTTTCCCCTCCCCCCCCCTCCAACAAATTCTTCACAAACAAAACTAAAAGATCACATTTGACACGTCATGTGTCAAAATTCAATCACACTGTTAGAGGTCAGCCCCCTCAGCTGACAGCAAATGACAGATGCCATTGTTTTAAAACCATTTCCTTCCCTCCACAAACACTTTTTGGACCCTCCCACTTCAAACTCCGCCCACCCCTAAGCGTTTAAAAACTTCTCCTGCAACAACCACAATCCTCTCACTCGGGCTTGAAGAAGAGACTCTTCTTCGTAACGCGTAGCCGTTTCTATCGCAAGGAACCTCACACTCTGTCCGGGGGCCCCCGGCTGGCTCGGGTCCCGGCGGTGTCCTCCTTCACACTCCCGTCCTGTCACACCACCGAGGATTGCCTGCTCTCTCCACTAACGAGCCGCACAGAGGGACCAGGCAATCATCGGCTGACATATCGAGGGTTACACTACCCCCCTCTCCTCACTCACTGATTTAAGCAGCTGCGGCCGCACACCGGCTCATACAGTCTGCCCTTATCCCCTCTCTCACTGACACAGATCAGAGACCAGCCATCTCCATGACCTTTTACAAGATCTCTCTCCCCCCCTCACCTGCTCAGCACTTGCCTTGCTAGCGGCGCAAGCACCCGCAGGGGTGTCCATTTGCCCTACCAAGTAACTTTGTACACAACAGTGACATCACTGGAACGTGATTAACACAAAACATCTCCCGATCATCTCAAACGTAACCACTATCAACAAAACCGACCTAACACAACATACGTTACTCACCATGCCCAGGATCTCCACCTCATGAAATCCATGGACCTCCGTCGCTGATGTCACCGCGTTACTTACTTAATGGTAAGTTTATGTATTCACACTTGTACATTTCCTGCATTGAATTTATTCACCTGCCCATTCATTTATTATTGGCCAACACGCCGACACCTCTGATGTCCGATCGGAAGTGCTGACATACAGCACCACCTTCCTAGAATCGTCCCTCCAAAGCCTCCACTAACTCAGCCAGACGAGAGTATTACACTTCCAATCCTTAATCACTTCGCTACATATTCAAACCAGGTTGCTAGCGCTTCTCTACCCCCTCACCTTCTGGTTATCTTACAGGAGAACTATGAGGCGAGTGCTTTACACTCCTCCTCATAGTTCTAGCCGACCTGTGACAATGAGACTGTCACAGGTCGGCTCAGTAGATCGGGAAATGAGCGAACACATACCGGCGTTCGCTCACTACTCGATCCTGTGCCGACAGAGAGCCGTGACAGGGGAGTGACTGGATTCCCCCCTCCCCCAGCGCTGACTGGCGGAACGGACGGGGGCGGGTACAGCTGGCTCTGCCTACTCACGCAGCTGGGCGGATCCAGACATAATTGTCGGGATCCGTTTCAGCCGCGGCGTCTCAGTATTCAGGGAGCTGTAGCTCGCGGTATACTGAGCTTAGGGTGACGGGAGGACGCTAGTTTGTATCGTCCCGTTACCCTTAGGAGAACTATGGGGAAAAACCCTGACCCCATAGTTCTCCTTTAAACACAAATGTCGGACACCCCGGTCCGCACTTTTTGAAAAGCAGCACACCTTGTGCCCTCCCAAAAAAAACCAAAAACACTTCCAGCACTTCGGTCAGCGCTCATTCCCTGGACTTTTATTTCAAATTTCACGTATTCTACTAACTCTACGTCTACATTTCCTTTATTGGAAGAGAATTCTCTGAAAATCATCTGCAGTCACTCTAAGTCGTGTTTGATATTTCCTTTATATATCTGAACATATACGGTATGCATCGGCTGCATTGACTCTATAACTTCCCACATCGGGCCCCAAAGGTCTACGGAGAGGAGCCGAGACTGCCATAGGATGTCCATTTCTCAATACTTTCTCAATACTCAGGACTGTATGGTCTGTTCCGGGTCCTTGTACCACCTGTATGTTGTTCTTTCTACTATGGACATTCATGGCTGTTGTGTTATTTACATGTTTCTGTTTTCCTGCTATTTGTCTTTTGTAACCTCAAACGAAAAATTTATTTAAAAAATAAAAAAAAGGAGGATGTGAACGGTGGAAGCTGCACCAAAATATGACGGAGAGGACAGAGGACTAGTATTTATAATTATGGCAAAACAAAAGAATGCAATTCAAAGGGAAAATTGATGCACAAAATGATAAAGTTGCGCACAAATATATGACATTATGACAATGTTATAAAATGATTAGGGATGCACCTATACTTTTCAAGTACCAGTGCTATTCTGGCTCCGATTGTTGTGATAGCGATATATCCCTTGCTGAGACCTCTATGCCTGGCCTGTAAAAGCAGATTCAATCACTGAGGACAATCCTTATCAGATAGCTGAACTCACCAATACCGTTTCATCCACAAAGGTGCTTTATTCTGAACATCAGTGGTCCTTGTACCACCTGTATGTTGTTCTTTCTACTATGGACATTCATGGCTGTTGTGTTATTTACATGTTTCTGTTTTCCTGCTATTTGTCTTTTGTAACCTCAAACGAAAAATTTATTTAAAAAATAAAAAAAAGGAGGATGTGAACGGTGGAAGCTGCACCAAAATATGACGGAGAGGACAGAGGACTAGTATTTATAATTATGGCAAAACAAAAGAATGCAATTCAAAGGGAAAATTGATGCACAAAATGATAAAGTTGCGCACAAATATATGACATTATGACAATGTTATAAAATGATTAGGGATGCACCTATACTTTTCAAGTACCAGTGCTATTCTGGCTCCGATTGTTGTGATAGCGATATATCCCTTGCTGAGACCTCTATGCCTGGCCTGTAAAAGCAGATTCAATCACTGAGGACAATCCTTATCAGATAGCTGAACTCACCAATACCGTTTCATCCACAAAGGTGCTTTATTCTGAACATCAGGGTTACAGCAGGTGACAGGAACAGCAGAATGAATGGTTTCACTATTGTGCGGTCAAAAGATGATGCTTTTCCTAGCGTACTATGCAGAATACACGTGTCCTTGTTACATGTGGCCTGTTAGCGGTGACCATGACACAGGAACTGACCAACAAGAAGAAGGGTGGGGCATACATACAGAGGAAATGTGTCATCGCGTGGGGAAACATATGCATTACCAAAAAGGGTCACTAGATGGAAGCACATGAACAAACCATAAATTATCCATAGGAAAATGATCTAAAGAAATAACTATATAACTTCTCATCTATATTAATGTAAACATTAACTGAGGCTATGCATATCACATTCTGCGCCCCATTGGGGCGGCACAAGTGGCGATACTTGGCATTTTCATGAGAACTACCAGGGTTGCAGCTTGGACCGGGCTCTGGTGCTCCACCACTGTCCTGAAATCATTAGTCGCTATTGTTGTAGAAAAACTGTCACATGACAATAAACAAAAATGTATCAATACTCGTACTCGCAAAACTGGTATCGGTGCATCCCTTTATTTATAATTATAAAAACAAAATCATACATTAAAACAGAGATGTACAAATCCCGGGAGCTCCGTGTGCTCCTTACAAATGACAGCGGCCTCCTAATTTTTGAATTTTTCTCGAGTCTGGTCTTGGAGCTCAAAGTATCGGTACTTGTACTTGGTATCGGTGCATCCCCAAAAATGATTACCATCGAGGTAAGGAGAATCCTTCTTCCTGATGACCACCCTTTTTCTTTTATACGCTACAGTTGTTCTATGGACTTTCTTACAATTGTTCTATGCACTGAACAATTCCACCTGTGACAAGCCATCGTACATTTGTCATAAGAACCAGCTGGCGCTGTCTATTTAGACTTCTTTTCCCGCACTCAGTGAGGACGCTCCGAAGTATGTTTCTCTGTGGAAGATTTGCTGTAGTCTGAACTTGAATGAGGACGCTCACTTGTGTGACTTCTCCGGTGTGTAACAAGGACTCCTTTCTTAATGAATGATTTCCCGCACTCTGAACTTGAATGAGGACGCTCACTCGTGTGACTTCTCCGGTGTGTAACAAGGCCTCCTTTCTTAATGAATGATTTCCCGAACTCTGAACATGAATAATTACACTCACCTGTGTGAATTCTCTCGTGTTTAACAAGGTGTCCTTTCTCAGTGAAAGTTTTCCCGCACTCTGAACATGAATAAGGACGCTCACCCGTGTGACTTCTCCGGTGTGTAACAAGGGCTCCTTTCTGAGTGAATGATTTCCCGCACTCTGAACATGAATGAGGACGCTCACCCGTGTGAATTCTCTGGTGTTTAACAAGGTGTCCTTTCTCAGTGAAAGATTTCCCGCACTCTGAACATGAATAAGGATGCTCACCCGTGTGAATTCTCTGGTGTTTTACAAGGGCTGATTTATAAATGAATGATTTCCGGCACTCTGAACATGAATAAGGACGCTCACCCGTGTGACTTCTCCGGTGTGTAACAAGGGCTCCTTTCTTAATGAATGATTTCCCGCACTCTGAACATGAATAAGGACGCTCACCCGTGTGAATTCTCCGGTGTGTAACAAGGGCTCCTTTCTCAGTGAAAGTTTTCCCGCACTCTGAACATGAATAAGGACGCTCACCCGTGTGACTTCTCCGGTGTGTAACAAGGTGTCCTTTCTGAGTGAATGATTTCCCGCACTCTGAACACGAATAAGGACGCTCACCCGTGTGAATTCTCTGGTGTTTTACAAGGTGTCCTTTCTCAGTGAAAGATTTCTCGCACTCTGAACATGAATAAGGATGCTCACCCGTGTGAATTCTCTGGTGTTTTACAATACGCTCACCTGTGTGAATTATCTGGTGTGTAACAAGTGCTGATTTATAACTGAATGATTTCCCGCACTCTGAACATGAATAAGGACGCTCACCCGTGTGAATTCTCTGGTGTCTAAAAAGGGCTCCTTTCTGAGTGAAAGGTTTCCCGCACTCTGAACATGAATAAGGACGCTCACCCGTGTGAATTCTCTGGTGTTTAACAAGGGCTTCTTTCTGAGTGAAAGATTTCCCGCACTCTGAACATGAATAAGGACGTTCACCTGTGTGAATTCTCTGGTGTATAAAAAGGTGTCCTTTCTCAGTGAAAGATTTCCCGCACTCTGAACATGAATAAGGACGCTCACCCATGTGAATTCTCTTGTGTTTAACAAGGGCTTCTTTCTGAGTGAATGATTTCCCGCACTCTGAACATGAATAGGGACACTCATCAGTGTGAATTCTCTGGTGTTTAACAAGGACTCCTTTCTTAGTGAAACTTTTTCCACACTCTGGACATGAATAGGGTCGCTCATCCATGTACATACTTTGGTGTCTATGAAGGTTTTTGTTTTCAATTAAAGATTTCCCACACACTGCATGTGAGAATACGTTATATTGGGGAATGGAGATAGACCTTCATATAAACCTTTTTTGGTTTTTCAAGAAAAACCAAACTTAAAATTTCAGAGCATTAGAGATTGCTCTACCATATGATTTTCAATATCTCCTCCTCCTTTGTGTGGGAGATACTAACTCTAAGGAACTGCTGGAGAAAAGGATTAAACAACAAGGAGTCAAAAAGTAAATTTTCTCCCATTGTTAGTTCGGGGGACACAGCGTCTGACCTCAATGAAAAATTAGTCCCTTACAATGAGGGAAAAAATAAACCCAAAAGATAACCCTCAGATATCACCGTGTGACGGAATCTCACTGACGCCTGTAGAAATCTACCTCCAAAGTGGCATTGGACGTTGCTGTTACAAACCCCTGAACCTCAGCCTGAACTAAAGGTGATCACTTTGCATACCTAGGTATAAGGTATCCAGGCCTTCTGCGCATGTGCGTGGTCCCGTTTTTCATACCATAGGAAAACAAGTACTTGCGCGACGTATGTGCACAAGCGCGCTAATCTGGAGCACAGGAAGTGATGCAGAACCTCTGAATTGATCTTCCTATTTAAAGCAAGCACGGCCTGGGCCTAGTTGCTGGGTGGTCCTTCAGCTGTTCCCTGTCATCCTGTTTGCTCTATCTGTTTACTGCTCCTGCACCTTTCACCGGATTGAACCTGACTGCTCCGGATTGCTGCCTGCCTTCTGACCTTGGAATTATTACTGGTCTTTGCCTCTGCCTCATCCCTTGTACTTCACTGCCGGACTGGTGTGACCCCTGGCTTGCCTGACCTCGATTCTGCCTCTAGCTCTGGTACCCTGCTGCCCGCCTGGTGTGACCTCGGCTCTGGTCTACCCGATCCAGATTCTGGACTTCTGCCTGGCACAGTGTTGCCCCATCCACTGGCACCCATGCTACTTGCTGTTTCTCAGGCTCTGTTCTCATCCTCAGAGTTTGGGGGACACAAGGTGCAAGGGGAGCCTCCTCATCCAACCAGTCTCCAGCCAGGTACGTGATACTAGGAGACAGATGCCTGATGGAACAAGGATGTAAGATGAGCTTATGGATCCAATGTGTGATAGTCTCACAGGATGCTGGAGATATCACAGCCAGAGGAGAGGGGAAGAGAGCTCATTGGTCACTGTCACAGGATCCAGGACTGGGTGACTATTTTTTATTATAGACCTCAGACCACATTGAGCACTTAACCCTTGCAGCACGGGGGTAGCTCCACTACAAGGGTTAGTTTGTCATTTGCCCAGAGATCTTTTTACAGATTTCTCAGTCCAGGGTTTTTGGATGTAAACCATCATTCCTCCATGACAATGGACCCAACATGTGTATGTAGAACATTTGATGAGAGTTTATTTGCTGTAAATGACCCCCAACCGTCCTAACACTAATCAGGAGATGACGACCCCTTCATCCTACAATAGGGGAGATGACTTCTTCTGGGGAATCTCCTTCACAACTTTGATGGTCCACCATTTATAATTCAGTCTCATCTTATCTGATGATGTGAAGATCTGATAATTCTCCAACATGATCCCTTAAACGTCGCACCTTCTACTCAGAAGTGACATAGAACTGTGACCTGTTCCCTCCATAGTGTCTGTTACTTACTTGTGTTGATCGGTAGAGAAATGTCATCCTGATCACTTTTCATCATCATCCCGACCTCCTCCGTGGACGGCCGGTCACCCCCCACATACGTCTCCTCTTCTTCCTCTTTAACCTCAACTTTTATACTGTTCCGTTCTTCACCCTAAACCCAAAATAATAGAAAACATCTCATAAAGCTGAACTCCGGGGAGATATAAAAAACACAAAGGAATACAGCTCTGTATATGTTTTTTTTAATGTAAACATTGTTAGTACCTGAATGTGACCTGGTGTCAGGTTCCTGCAGTCCCTGTACAGCAAAGCTTAGACTGGGAGAGAGAGAAACAGTCTGCTGCTTCTCATTTTACTGTCCAGTCAAAGACTGGGGGAGGGACAAGACCTGTACGTGTAAGTGACCTACAGCAGAGAAATATCAGGTCTCCTGCTCTGCCCATTTGAGGGCAGGTCTCCTTCCTATTTCCTCTGAGCCCGGGAGCCAAGGACCCTCACCTTGAGGGCGCTTCATCACGCCAGCATGGACTCACAGAAGCAAAGAACAGCACCACAAATTTCAGCATGTGCCCTTTGGAAATCACAAGGATGGAGCCTATCCACGATGTCACATGACTGGACCCAAGACCCATATCAGAACATTTTGTTTATACATTTTAAAAAAATAATAAAAGTGGAGGGTGGAGCAAGGGGAAGCTGAAATGGAGTGGACAGTTGGATAAATGGCTCTATATTTAGGATGTATCGGGTCTATAAATGGCGGCTCTGGATGGACAGTTGGATAAAGGGCTCTATATTTAGGATGTATCCGGTCTATAAATGGCGGCTGTGGATGGACAGTTGGATAAAGGTCTCTATATTTAGGATGTATCCGGTCTATAAATGGCGGCTCTGGATGGACAGTTAAATAAAGGTCTCTATATTTACGTGCATGTATGCTATAAATCATAACAGACCTCACAGTGAACTTTGACGGAGATGATGGGTATGAAGGATATGGTTACCGGCTGTAAATATAAAATAATATCTTATTACCTCCTCTGCAGCCGATTTAAGTAATGTCTTCTCTTTGCTTCCTCCCAAATCACTTCCCACATCACCCTAAATCACTTCCTGTCTATATCTAACATCGCTTCCTGTCTTTACCTTACATCACTTCCTGTAGGAGTCTTCCACGTGAGATCACCACCTTGTGTTGAATATAAATACTGCAGTCTCCGTTACGTTTCATCGTCGTGCTCGCTACCTTGTGGTCTATTCCTCTGTTACGTTACATCCATGACTACACACAGATTATACCTCACATCAAATCCAGACAATAAAGAAATAAAATGAAAAACTACAATGTGATATTTTTGAATAATAATAAAAGTGAAACTAAATAAGAAACTGTTTTAGAAAACAAACTAAAACTTGAAATACCACCTTGGTTGCTCATTTTACAAAACTATAAGGAGTTTTATTTTAGTCATGTGACTTTCATTTTCTGATCTCATTGAACTCCAATTAAAATTACAATCGGTTTTAAATGGTGAATAAAGATCCATATCCTGGTGTATTTTAGGTTTTTGGGTTGAGCCAATTGTAATGATATATAGGCAGCGGTGCTGGCCGTCCTCGTCCCCGCCGCTACTGTAGCCTCCGGTTCTCTTCCCTTGATGAATACATTTATCAAGGGGAGAGAACCAGAACCACAGCAATTGCCGCTCTCAGGGAATCTGCCGCTCCAGGCAAACGCCTTGTTTGCCTCGCAGCAGATACGCCCCTGTATATAGGTGTCATCTAGGGTGACCCTTCTCAATTGGGTCTCCATTCAGGTACGGGATACTAGGATTTTGGAGCAATTGTCCCATTTTCCGCAGTCATTGCCTCCAGCGGGGGGATTTCTCTCCCCATTGACAGTGTTCCAGGTTAGCTATTGTCAAACGAGTACACTTAGACATGCTGTATGGTGTAACACTTACTAAACTCCACATCCATTGGTATCTCTTTCTATCGTACATTACCCAATGGGAAGGAGACTTCAGTGTACACCGGATGCTATAGACAGGATAATGTTCTTCACTCAGAAGATCTCTGTTACCACAAAATACCCATCATTATAAATGTATCTTATTATGGATACTAATAACATAACTTTCCATTCATTTATTGGTTTTTCCTGACACTACTCTGCAAGAAGTTCCACTGTTGTAATCTGGAGCCCAGTAGCTCTGCCTTACTCTTAGGCAGTTCCAAATCCCTGACCAGGCCGCTCTGTGAAATGAGATGTGGCTCAGGAGGAACATACGGTGGGCTACTGTTTGGGTTCCGCTGACATCGATGGCCCCGGATCAGCTGCATCCTGCTCATCGTCTTTATCATCATCTGAGTCTAGAGAGTAGGATTCTGGTGGACACCATGGGGTACAGGACGCAGTGCGGATGGAATGTTTGGATATTCCGCGGTCCACTTCTTTCTTGAGATCCCTTTTGCAATAGGGGGAACCATGCAAAAATAGCAGTCGCTACTATGATTGGTGGGTTCCCTCCGCACCAATGGGACTGTGAAAGGCATGGACTTTTTCTTCTTGTTTAGCCAATGACGCAGATAAGTAATGCAACTGTAATGAGGGGCCCAACTCTTGTCCTGATCCCCTATTTTGCACCCAAAATATAGGTTGTATGCCTTTTTTACCAGTGCCGTCATACTACACTTTTGAGATGCAAATGGCACCTCGCCACAAATGTAGCAGAAGTAATCCTCGTTGTTTACATGGTTTCGAGGCATCTTGGCTTTTGAGGGAAAATATCACGCAACTGTTCCTTGGAAATGTTAGTCCGTGACACTTTCACAGGCCACCAGCTGTAACTGTATGATAGTTACATAGTTAGTCAGGTTGAAAAAAGGCACAAGTCCATCCAATCCAACCTATAGAGATACAAAAAAAAAAAAGCCTAAACAGAACACTATGCCCACAATTACCCCCTGTTGATCCAGAGGAAGGCAAAAAAACCCTATAAAGCACGGTTCAATTTGCTCCAACAGGGGAAAAAATTACTTCCTGATCCCATAAGGCAATCGGATATTCCCTGGATCAACAATCTCTGATGCTTAATATACCTCTAAGAACTCAATATCCAGTAATATTCTCTGCATTTAGGAATACATCCAGATGTTTTTTAAAACAATTAACCGAGCTAGCTAGAACTAGCTCCTGGGGGAGTCTATTCCACATTTTCACAGCTCTAACTTTGAAGAATCCTTTCCGTATGAAATGGTTAAACCCCTTTTCCTCCAGACGCAAATAGTGCCCCCTTGTCCTTTGCAGTGACCTTAAC